TATATATGTTTATAAAAAGATAAATATTTTATAATAGATGAAATATTAATTAAATTTTAATATATGGTTAAACTCCATTTTGGTCCCTCAACTATTATATGGACTCTTGATTTAGTCCCTTAACTTAAAAATCCCTGATTTAATCTTTATTATTTATTATTTTGACCCTGATTTGGTCCTTTTGTTAAAAATCTTATGACGTGACTTGTTAATTCATGGTTACATGATGACATATCAAAGATTAATACACATGGAAAACAATATGACAAAAAAATGATGACATGAAAAAAATAATAATATAAAAAATATTAATATGAAAAATAAACTTAATTTTTTTTTCTTTTTCCTTCTCTTTTCCCTTGGAACCTAGTATGCTTAGGTTCCTTCAAACCCAAGCATTGGGTTTGGTGGAACCCACACCTCTGTTCCAAGGAACCCAGGCATGTTGGGTTCGAAGGAACTCACATCAGAACCCAGGTCTTGGGTCCCAGGGGCAAAAAAAAAAAGAAAAAGATTCTGCTTTTTTTTTTTTTTGTGTGTGGGTTTTATTGTTTGATGAAGATGAAGATGAAGAATTGATTGATGAAGATGAAGAATTGATTGGTGAAGAAGGCAAGGCAAGGAAGAGGAAGGAGAAAGAAAGGGTGTGTGCTGGGTTCCTTTGAACCCAGCACGCTTAGGAAGGAACCCAGCACGCTTGGGTTTAATGGAACCCAACACGTCTAGGTTTGAAAGAATTTAGGGGCAAAAAATTTTTTAAAAATTTTTTGTTTTTTTGTGGGTTTTATTCTTTGATGATGATGAAGAACCTAGCAAGGGTAAAAATTGGTGGAGATGAATAGATTGGTTGAGATGTTAGAGATTAGTTGAGATGTTAGGGTTTGCAAAAGTTGAAGAAAGGGAAGAGGAAAAAGAAAGGGAAAGACGAAAGAGAGGAACGAAAAGAAAAGGCTAAAAAAATGGATTTATGTTTTTGGTGGAATGAGTTGGAATGACCATGTCATCCATTTTTACCAATCTATCAATTTTTGTGTGACATGTAATGCTTCTTCTGTCTTCTTTCGTCAATTAACATGAAAAATTAATGAAAGGACCAAATTGAGATAAAAATGGTAAACAGTAAGAATCAAATCATGGATTTTTTGAGTTGAGGGATTAAATTGGGGATTCTTACAATAGTTGAGGGACCAGAATGGGGGTTTAACCTTAATATATTTAATTTTTAATTTAGGGTATTTAAATTTATTTGTTTATTTTAAGATGCCATATATTATATATTTTTGTACTTTACCTTTATTTTAAAAAGATAATTACAATATATATTAAATAAAAGATTTATT